CCAGGCCACCCAGGCGGGAGAGCACTCGCCGGCCTCGTCTGCGGCGGCTGCTGCGGCTGCTGCGGAGGCTGCTGCTGCTGCGGCTGCTGCAACGGTGGAGGCAGCGGGGCAGCTGGACCGGGCAGGGTCCCCACGTCCGCACCGGCACCGGACGACCCGCCTCCACCACTACCCCCACCCGCACCCCCGCCACCTCCGCCGCTCCCAACCTTGGGGCGGCGGCCCTTCCCCGAGCGGGACTGCACTGCAGCAGCAGTCTCAGCCACAGCGACAGAGCCGTCGGAGAAGGTACACTGAGCGGGGGCACAACCCTGAAAGATAGGGACCGGTACTGTACCGCTCGCCTGGGCTATGGAGCGGTGACGAGTCTCTATGGCAGTCAGGGTGTCAACAAAGTCGGTGAGGGTGAGAGCAGCAGGGTGGATGCTAAGGAACTGGTCGCGGGCGGCGGCAAGGCGGTCAGGGAGACGGGTGGCAAGGAGGTAGAGGGTAGAGGTCATGGGAGGCTGGTGGACTCTAAGCTGTGCATCAGTGCAGGCAGCGCGCCAGGCCTCATCTATCGAGCGCAGGTGGGCAGCGAGGTCAGAGACAGTGGGGAAGGACGCCAGGTCAGGAAAGAGCAGGGGGAGGATCAGGCGACCCACTGAGGCAGCAGGAGGGGTAGAATAGCGCTTGATGACAGCATCGAGGTAGGCCTGGGCGGTAGTAATGGTTCTAAAGCGAGGGCGCTCAAGGGGGGGGAGGGCATTGCTAATGGCGAGCTGAGCAAGGGCATCGCGGGAAAGCCAGACAGAGCGGGCAAGGGCAGCGGCGGCAGTGGACTCGCGCTCAGCGGGCGTGGGATCAGCAGGCAGCACAGCAGGGGGGTCAGGGCAGGGGAGCATACCGTCTAGGTGTGCAGAAAGCGGGTGGCCGTCCTGCCGCTGACCAGTGAGGTGGCGGCGAAGGTCAGCCAACCACGCCTCGAACTCCAGAGGCTGACCCTCAGCATCAAAACGAAGCTCAGCAGCCATGAGGGGCAGTGGAGGACAGTGGAGTGCGGTGTAGTGCTGTGCAGTGCGGTGCAGGGCGGTGCAGTGCGGTCCAATGCGGTGCAGTGCGATGCAGTGCGGTGCAGTGCGGTTCAGTGCGGTGCAGTGCGGTCAGTGCGGTTCAGTGAGGTGCAATGCGGTGCAAGGCGGGGCAGGAAAGTGCAGGAGGGTGCAAAGTGGTGCGGGGAACGGGGGACAGTACTAGGAAGTATGGAGGGCCGGGGCAGGCGCGACGGGGCCGGGCAGGCGCGACGGGGCCGGGCAGGCACGTCGAGGCCGGGCAGGCGCGACGGGGCCGGGCAGGCGCGACGGGGCCGGGCGGCTGCGACGGGGCCGGGCGGCTGCGACGGGGCCGGGCGGCAGCGACAAGGCCGGGCGGCAGCTACGAGGCCGGGCGGCTGCGACGGGGCCGGGCGGCTGCGACGGGGCCGGGCGGCTGCGACGGGGCCGGGCGGCTGCGACGGGGCCGGGCGGCTGCGACGGGGCCGGGCGGCAGCGACAAGGCCGGGCGGCAGCTACGAGGCCGGGCGGCAGCGACAGGGCCGGGCGGCAGCGACGGGGCCGGGCAGGACACAGCAGGGCCGGGCGGGGGCGACGGGGCCGGGCGGGCGCGACGGGGCCGGGCAGGTGCGACAGGGGCCGGGCAGCTGCGACAGGGGCAGGGCGGGCGCCACGGGGCCGAGAGGCCGCGACAAGGCCGAGCTGGGGCGACGGGGCCGAGCAGGGGCGACGGGGCCGAGCAGGGGCGACGGGGCCCAGGAGGGTGGATACGGGGCCCAGGGAGGAGCGCGGCAGGGCCCAGGAGGGGCGCAACAGGCCCAGGAGGGGCGCTACGGGCCCAGGAGGGGCGCAATGGGGGGGGGCCCAGGAGGGGCGCGGCGGGGCCCAGGAGGGGCGCAATGGGGGGGGAGGCCCAGGAGGGGCGCTACGGGCCCAGGAGGGGCACTACGGGCCTAGGAGGGGCGCGACGGGGCCTGGGAGGGGCACGACGGGGCCCAGGAGGGGCACTACAGGGCCCAGGGAGGGCGCGACGGGTCCCAGTAGGGGCGCTACGGAGCCCAGGAGGGGCGCGACGGGGCCTGGGAGGGGCGTTACGAAGCCCAGGAGGGGCGCTACGAAGCCCAGGAGGGGCGCGACGAGGCCCAGGAGGGGCGCTACGGGGCGCTACGGGGCCTGTGAGGAGCGCGACGGGGCCCTGGAGGGGCGCTAAGGGGCGCGACGGGGCCCTGGAGGGGCGCTACGGGGCGCGACGGGGCCCTGGAGGGGCGCTACGGGGCCCAGGAGGGGCGCGAAGGGGCGCGACGGGGCCCTGGAGGGGCGCTACGGGGCCCAGGAGGGGCGCTAGGGGGCGCGACGGGGCCCTGGAGGGGCGCTACAGAGCCCTGGAGGGGCGCGACGGGGGCCTGGAGGGGCGTTACGAAGCCCTGGAAGGGGGGCGCGACGGGGCCTGGAGGGGCGCTACGAGGCCCTGGAAGGGGCGCGACGGGGCTAGGGGGAGGGGTCGCGACTGGGCTCAGGAGGGGCGAGGCGAGGCTAGGAGACGCGACGGGAGGAGCGGAAGCGGTAGGTGGGGGGGGGGGGGGGGGGTCGAAACCTACTCGTGATACCATATCAAACCTAGAATTGAATAATGTGAGAGAGAGAGAGTACACAAACATATACCTAAATGTTGTTCTCTCTAGAAGGTGACCCTATACAGTCTATACAAACATGATAACTACACATGTTTGACACATGTAACTCGGGGTGGCATCAACCTAAACTCGAAAAGGGTTGCAAATTTATGATTGATGCCATGTCAAATGACATCTCGGGCCCCTATGGGTTATATTTATTTGCCCATAACGCTGCCTAAAATGTCCTTCTCTAATTTTGCATTTTCTGTCGATTTGCAGCGCAAGAAATAAGGGTTTTTAGTTGTTCGGTTACTGTTACTTGCGATCCGCGCAGAGTAGTCACGTTTATCCTATAGAGAGGAGGGTTTTGTTGCTTTCAGAGCAGCGAGGGGAGTTTTAGCGTTCATTCAGGTTAGTTTTTCTCTCATAAGTTCGTGTTTCACAATTTCATTGGCTGCACACTGTACCTCAGCATTTCGCTGTTCTCAGCAAATGTTCCCGAAAATCTCCGCCAACTACAGTGCACGTCGCTGAACGAGCCTGGAAATAGAGTGAGCCTCGGGTATCGTCAAATTTTTACGGCAAAATTAACAGCAAACATATTTTTGAGACGGATAAAACATGACGACAATATTCAATATGGGACTGCGGATTAGTGCGACGGGATTGTTCACTTACATTTCATTCCGAAATTATAGAATAACATCTTTTGTACAATTATATTTTGAGCTCATTATTTTTGAACCACGGAATTCCATGATATTCATCAATGATATAGATTTTTCAGTATTTTTTTCCAATGCTTAGCTGAATATTTTCAAAAGGGGTTTGCATATAAATGTTGGCTGGGACGTCTCATATGGTCCTTTTTGTAAAGAATATTGTAATGCAAAGTCCTTTAAAAAATATTCGACCACGTATTAAAAAATTTATTGAAAGATCTACATTGTTTATGAAAATCCTGAAATTCCATAGCAAAAAAATAATAGTTGAAAATAGTACAAAATATTTATTATATAATATCAAAATGAAATGTAAGTGAACAATCCCGTCGCACCAATCCGCAATCCCATATTGAGTATTTTCGTCATGTTTTATCCATCTGAAAAATAAGTTCGTCGTTAATTTTGCCGTCAGAAATTGACGGTACCCGAGGTTTACTATGTTTCCAGGTTCTTTCAGCGACGTGCACTGTAGTTGACGTAGATTTTCAGGAACAGTTGTTGAGAACAACGAAATGCTGAAGTACAATGTGCAACCAATGAAATTATGAAACTCGAACCAATGAGAGAAAAACTAACCTAAATGAACGCTAAACCTCCCCTCGCTGCTCAGAAAGCAACAAAACCCTCATCTATATGGAATAAACGTGACTGCCGTGCGCGGATCGCAAGTAACAATAACCGAACAACAAAAAACCCAACAAATATTGCTGGGAGGTTCTTGTCACGAAGACACAACTCTACACGTCAGTCCGAAACAGTTTACTGCGCATGCGCAAGAGTCTCGCCTCTCATTGGCGCATATTCGAGTAAGTTAGTGTCAGTTTTGTTTTGATATGGATAGATAGTTGTCGTTTCCTCGAACCTGAGGAGGCGCTCGCAAGCTGCAGCTGTCTGAGAATTTCGAGTTTTGAAAGAGAGAGAGAAACTGTGACAATACCCGTGTATATATACTATTATATACGTAACCTTCATACAAAGCGGAGCGCGGGTAATTGGAGATCGGATTCCGAAGTGCGGGGCGCGATGCGCGATTGAATTCAACCCGTGCGTTTTCATTCCAAGTTTCGGCGCGGGCCGAGATTCGCGAGATTCTCGCATGAACCCCGCACACCTGACAGGTTTCTCATGATTGCGGAAGATTGACATGTTACAAGAACCGCTGATGGCAACCCGATGCATCTAACGGCTGAGGACAATCTTAGTGGGCCCCACAACGCGGTGACGTTCAGTGCCCCCAGCAGATTCATGTCCGCAAAGGGCCCGCCGCTCCGCTGCGAGGTTTTCTGTCTGGGCGCAGCGCAGTTGAATGTTTGCGCGAGCACAGATGCCGACATTCCGCGAACACGATGTGTGGTGGGGGCAAGTTCGAACCTTTGGGCCAGCTCAGGTCAGTCACTGTTTCTGTAAAATAAATTAATTCGGCTATATTCTTCTAGACTATCATGATCAAAGTGGTTTAAGCTTTCCATCCTTATTTTAGCCAACCTGACTAGGATTTGTTATTATAGCTCATGGCCTTAACGCAGCGAGTCAGGTATTAACGTAGATTGACACTAGCCAATAACGTTCCGCTGAGTCATGTATGCTTGTTGGGCACATGCCAACAGCCAGTTGTAGGAGATTGCACAAGGTGTGGTGTTGCATCAAACATGGACTATGTATACCAATACACAACAATGATCTTGGTTAGAACTACGACTTTCCTTGAATGCGCAGAAATAATGTGCAAGAACTCAGCCCATCCTGTTGGCTCATGTTAGGGCTCTGACTGACACATGTATCCAGCATATGCGACAACTACCGCCACAAGGGCCTAAAGCCAGACCATGATGCATGAGCGTAGTCCCTGGGCTATGACATGGGATGGGTGAGGTTACTGCAGAGAGCATAGCATAGAGAGCAACGGTCCCGGGAGGTGGAGAGGGGCTGGGAGGAAGAGGCGCAATGTTCGAACCAGCCCAAACGCACTGAGTGCATGCATGTATAGTCCAGGGCCTCGTGACGAGGGGAAGAAGAGAGGGGGGACGGGGGATGAAGGATGCAAGGGGGAAAAGGGGGGTGAGCAACGCGGGGATGAAGGGTGCAAGGGGGGAAAAGGGAGGTGAGCAACACGGGGTTGAAGGGTGCAAGGGGGGAAAAGGGGGGTGAGCAACACGGGGATGAAGGGTGCAAGGGGGGAAAAGGGGGGTGAGCAACACGGGGATGAAGGGTGCAAGGGGGGAAAAGGGGGGATGAGGGGTGAACGGAGGGGGGATGAGAGGTGAGTGAAGGGGGGGATGAGGGGTGAACGGCAGAGGGGATGGGCAGTGAGTGAACGGGGGGATGATGGGGTGAACGAAGGGGGAAGGGGAAGAGGAACGGGAACGGGGGTGAAAAAAGAGGATAAGGCCTAGGCTCGCAGTCATGCTCTTGCAGAAAACAGTCCCTCCCCCTCGCACCCTCCCACTTCTGTTCTCCCTTCGTCTCTTCCCCACGCTTCATCCCTCCCTTCCCCTCCCCACTACTCACTCCCCCGCCCTCTCTTACCTACCGCGATCCGTCCCTTCCCTCGCAATAGACCGGTCAAGCGGTAGCAGACCCACCGCAGGTCACCAAGTAGGTCTGCGAGTCAGCGCCTCGTCTCCGCTCGTCAGCTCGATATTGTCGCTGCGATTGGTTCAGGCCTGCGCCGAAATTAGGGCTACGACGAGATTAGAGCTCGATGCCGGGCTGCGATATAGGGCACTGAAAAGCATTTCGGGTTGAGGCAACGATAGGGCTAACGCATGGCAAGCAAGCATTTCGGAGTGAGGCGTACAATCTACGAGCTGCGAGCTAGCATGCTACTGCTGCTAACTATGGCCTGAGGACATAGATTTTAGGTACCGTACTGAGACCTTAGGTACCGTACTGAGATTTTAGGCCTCCATACGCCGGAATAGAAATCAGAGTCGCGAGTAGCATAAGTCATGAAATTCATCTCTGAGTCGCGACCAATATTAGCTATGAATGAGAATGTAAGATACGCCACGGAACTAAGATCTGTCAATCCAAGCCACTACTAACGACGATACGAAGCGGGAGAAATAGTGCTGCGATGTTTGAAGTGGGCAATATGGTGCGGTACGACGCTACGAGGCGTGAAGAGCTACGGTTCTACGAAATCAGTCTAGTCTAGCACTGTCTATTCCATGACAATATGGGGTGTGAAGTCCAGGTGATAACCTTGTGATTCTGCCACGAAGTGATGAGGACACCTTTTCATCGCCATTGGTTCGCGAGATTTCCCCCCAGCTATTCCATGTTTTCCATCTGCCCGAAGCGTGGTTTGCCAGAAGCGAAACGAGCGGCAGAAGCAGCTCAATCTAGTTCAACTGCCTCTGCCTTGAACCCAAACTCTAGCTCTCCTCATCTCACCCATGCCGTCCCGCACCTTACGCAAAACAATTGGTGTCCACAACACATACAAAAACTAGTGCCACGTCAACAACCTCCTACGATTTCGTGCCTGCCCCACGCTTCTCCCTTCCTGACCCATTAGAAACAATACGCGCTTATCGAAACGAACCAAAAGCCAATTCAATCAAGAAAAAACACAAAAGTTAACCCAGCTACACCAACACGCTACACCACTGTACACCAGCCAAAACAGCTACAGTGTGGCTTGTCAGGCTTGCACCAAGTTTTCGGCGTGTGCGCTTCGGTTCGCCGCTGAACTGAAAGTGAAGTCAAACATTCAACAGCGCGGCTCTGACATGGCGGCGAGGCACACTCAGAATAGAGCAGCAGCACCACCAACTCAGTCTCACAAGCCCAGCCCCTGGAATCCTCCCGTCACGGAATTCCCTATATAGTTTCTTCTCACTCCGCCATTTCTTTTTACTCTTCCGTTTTGGAAGTTCAGAGAGATTCTCGATTCGATCATTCCTCTTCCGTTGAGCGTTCCTCCTGCAACGCGGAGCACGGTGGCGTTCCTCTACGCCAACCCTGTCTTCCTACCATCCACCCGCTTCCTCCTCCTCTTACCACTTACCTTATTATCCTCCTCCTCTGGCTGCAGACCTCTCACAAGGGACCCCCCCCCCCCCCTATAAACAGTTGGTAACAGCTATTATTTTTAAGGTAACAGCTATATGGTATGGTCCCACGTGAGGGTCTGCAGCTACCAATTCACCCATCTCCGCGGGCGCGCCGCTCAGCACGGTAAGCATGAGTTCCTTCCTTTAGCTTTCTCCTTTACCGAGTCACTAATGCTCTGTTGTTTTATAAGTGCAGGTCCATATACCTCCCAAGATAACGAAGGTCGGAGAATGGCCTTGACGAGCTTCGTCAAGGCCATGAAGACCCTCGCCGTCGACACCTCTCTCCATCGTTGTTGTCGGCGCCAGATGGTTCTACTATCTAAACGGTAAGTGCAATTTCCGGCTTATTTTTTTCCTGGTCAGTGCTGATCGATTGCGTGGCCTCGATTTTTTTTTTTTTTTCTGCAGAACTACTAGAGACCGTCGAAGACGTCCAAGATTGTCGAAGACGTCCAAGACCGCCGAAGACGTCCAAGACTGTCGAAGACGTCCAAGACTGTCGAAGACGTCCAAGACCGCCGAAGACGTCCAAGACGTCCAAGACGTCCAAGACCGTCCAAGACGTCCAAGACCGTCCAAGACGTCCAAGACGTCCAAGACTGTCGAAGACGTCCAAGACGTCCAAGACCGTCCAAGAAGTCCAAGACGTCCAAGACGTCCAAGATGTCCAAGACGTCCAAGACCGTCGAAGACGTCCAAGACTGTCGAAGACGTCCAAGACCGCCCAAGACGTCCAAGACGTCCAAGACCGTCGAAGACGTCCAAGATGTCCAAGACCGTCGAAGACGTCCAAGATGTCCAAGACCGCCGAAGACGTCCAAGATGTCCAAGCCCGTCGAAGACGTCCAATTCGAAGATATCCAAGCGAAGACTGGAAGACCGGAAGATCGTCCAAGGCCCGACGACGTTCAAGACTTAAGACTGCCCAAGGGGGGCCTGTGGGGGTCGTGGGGGGGGATGGGGGCAGGGGGAGATGGAGAGGCATGGCAGCCCCGGCCCTGTCCTCTCCATCGAATCCTCCCCCTCCCACTTCTCCTCGGGTCCCTACGCCAACGACGGACCTTTGAGGTACTATCAATTTCGTGTTTTTTCGTTTCTGCTTTTTTTCCCCTTACTAACGTATTTCGGTCGGCTCCAAGATGCAGGTTTCGGCAAGGGTGGAGGTTACAGACGCCATGACTCCCTCCTCTCTCTCTCTCTCTTCCCCTCCTCCCACCATACCTCAGGTATGCGCACAAGGGGGAGAGGAGAATGGATGGGCGGAAAGGTTAAGTATGGGGACGGTACCTTACTGACGGCGTTACTACAGGCACGTTACATAGGACGGAGCGCGTTAGCGAAGGGCGTTACATAGGACGACGCGTTACCGAAGGGCGTTACATAGAACGATCGCGTTACCGCAGGGCGTTACCTAGGACGATCGCGTTACCGCAGGGCGTTACCTAGGACGATCGCGTTACAGTAGGGACGGTCTCTCCTCTGCAGCGGCTCGTTACAATCGCCTTCGACGTTCTGCAGCAGCAGCACTCCTCTCTTCTCCGCATGAGCACGGGGCGTTCTTGAGGTGGTTTTATGCCCGTGGCAGAACTAATATATTTTCCCCTTTTCCCCACATGTTTCCCGAGCGAATGACCCCCACCTCATCGTGGTGCTCGGGTGAACGCTAGGGGCTTGCCCCTAGCGGCCAAGAGGGGTCAAGTTCCAAGTTGCAGGTTGAGAACAAGTGACTCGCAGGGGTTATGGTTGGATACGTCGGTTTTTAGAAATTGGTTGAGAACTACTCTCATGTATGCCTTTGTTTTTATAAGTGGCATCCAAAATGCCTTCATGATGATAACGGCGGTTTCAACTTCGTTTTCGCTCGAGAGCTCCAACAACCACTTGCACCGCACGCAGAAACGTCGGATGATAAGTTTTAGGTGCCTAAACCAAACCAGGGTTAAACAAGTTCAAAATCCCTCCCGAGCCGCTCGCGGGAGACCAATCACAACTGTCCATGAACTCCTGCAAAGGTCGATGTGACGTTCGGTGCGTTCTTGAGTTATGCTAGCGCGGTAACGGGGGATTTGGTGCGGCGGATGTCACAGAATCTGACATAAATTGTACTGACGAGCTCCGTTCCCAAATCTCGAGGTTTCCGTCACTGACTTATTCCGTTCCGTTTCCCTCCCATACCAAACCAAAGTTTGGTTCTGCCTGACTGCTTCCGTCCCAATTTCGTACCATACCTTATGAGTCTGTGTATATACAGCACTGTACGCGTTTAGCATAATATAGTAAGAAGAATTCGGGTTCCAATCCCACGTTTAGATTCGTGGCAGAGAAGGCTATTATATATACCGTGCGTTTAGATTTGTGTGGGTGAATCTATGTTACGTCTCGTGCATTTTGGTCCTTTCAGGAGAATCTGACATGTTTCTCGCGTTCAGAGAATGCAAGTTTTCGGCTCTTGTTAAAAAATCTAGCATGCCAACCATGCGTGTTGGTCTGTGTCAGACTCTTTGAGTTGAGTTGCAATCAGAAGTTATCTTATCCCTACCGTGATTGTGATGCTTGCAGCTGCAGGTACCTGCCAAACATATATTGTTATGTTTGTATAGACTGTATAGGTTTGTGTCATAGAGGGTACAACTTCTAGGTTATATTCCCTTGTACTCTCCCATTCTACTATCATTCTCTCATTTTAACATGGTATAATGAGTAGGTTAGGTCCATCTAGCCCACCCGCGCTTCCGCCCTAGGCCCTAGCCGCCCTCGTGCCTGTTCCTAGCCGGCCCCTTGCGCCCCTAACGCCGTCGCGCCCGTCCTAGCCGCCCCCCCCCTTGAGCCGTCGTGCCTGTCCTCGCTGGCCCCCTGAGCCGTCGCGCCTGTCCTAGCCGGCCCCTCGCGCCGTCGCGCCCGTCCTAACCGGCCCCCTGAGCCGCCGCGCCCGTCCTAGCCGGCCCCCTGAGCCGTCGCGCCCGTCCTAGCCGCCCCCCCCTTAGCCATCGCGCCCGTCCCAGCCGGCCCCCTGAGCCGTCGCGCCCGTCCTAGCCGCCCCCTCGCGCCGTCGCGCCCGTCCTAGCCGGCCCTCGCGCCCGTTCCTCACCGGACCTCGCGCCCATTCCTAGCTGGCCCTTGCGCCCCTTCCAGCCGGTCCTCGCGCCAGTTCTAGCCGGCCCCTCGCGCCCGTTCCTAGCCGGCCCGCGCGCCCGTTCTAGCCGGCCCCTCGCGCCCGTTCTTAGCCGCCCCCTCGCGCCCGTTCTAGCCGGCCCCTCGAGCCCGTTCCTAGCCAACCCCGTGCGCCCGTTCCTAGCCGGCCCTCGCGCCCGTCCTAGCCGGCCCGTGCGCCCGTTCCAGTCGGCCCTCGCGCCCCTTCTAGCCGCCCTTGTGCCCGTCCCTCACCGGCCTTCGCGCCCGGTCCAGCTGGCCCCCTTGCGCCCGTTCCTAGTCGGTCCCCGCGCCCATCCCGTCTCGTCAGCTGGCCCGCCGCCGACCCAGGCGTCCATTGTGTACCTGTGCGCCATACCCCACCGTACTGCACCGCCCCTCACCACTCGGTACCGTACTGCAACGCACCTCATCCCTCGGTACCGCACTGCACCGCACAGCACCGCGCTGCACCGCACAATACCGCACTGCACTGCTCTGCACCGCACTGCACCGCTCTGCACTACATTGCATCGCTGCTGCATCGATCCTGATGGCGGACCACGTGCTCCGCTTCGACGCAGAGGGTCAGCCGCTCGAGTTTGACACATGGTTGGTCGACCTCCGTCGTCATCTCACTGGTCAGCGGCAGGATGGCCACTCCCTGGCGGTCCACCTTGACAGTACGCTTCCCTGTCCTGACCCCCCTGCTGCCCTGCCCGCTGACCCCTCGTCCGCTGACCGTGAGTCCGCTGCAGCTGCTGCCCTTGCCCGCTCAGTCTGGTTGTCGCGTGACGCCGTAGCGCAACTAGCAGTCAGACATGCCCTCCCCCTGTCTGAGCGCCCTCGCTTTCGGTCGATTACGACTGCGCAGGAGTTCCTAGATGCTGCTGTAAAGCGCTATTCCACCCCGCCCGCTACCTCTGTAGGTCGCCTGATCCTGCCCATGCTCTTTCCTACCCTCTGCTCTACCCTCTACTTGCTTGCCACCCGCCTCCCTGACCGTCTTGCTACTGCCTGCGACCGCTTCCTTAGCATCCACCCCGGTGACCTCACCATCATTGAATTTGTTGACACCCTGTCTGCCATAGAGACCCGCCAGCGCTCTATCGCCCAGACCGGCGGTACTGTGCCGGTCCTTATCTTTTAGAGTTGTGCCCCCGCTCAGTGCACCTTCTCTGATAAATCAGCTGCTGTGGCTGAGTCTGCAGCTGCAGCGCAGATTCGTTCCGGGAAGGGCCGCCACCCCAAGGCTGGGCGCGGCGGTGGGGGTGGTGGTGCTCGTGGAGGTGGTGGTCGAGCCGCAGCAGCTGAGGCGGGCGGGTGGTCTCCCGCCCGGGTGGCCTGGCGCTAGTGGTGGCGATGGACGTGGTGGTCGTGCGCGTGGTGGGACCTGCTTCAGACCAGTCCTCGCCGTGGCTTCTTTTGCGGTAAGATTGGTCACACCTCCGTCCGCTGTTTTCGTCGCCTGGACGATCTGTTTCGTCAGCGCTTCGGCACGTCGCCCGGCCTCCCCGACTGGCATAGCTTGCGTCGCCGTAGCGTTCAGATTTTTTATGTGGACATGGATGAGATTGTTGCTGCCTTGCATGTGATGTATGCTGAGAACTCTAGTGTGACTGTTTCTGACTACCCCTTGTTGCCTAGTGTAGGCGTGTCTAGTCGTGTCTCCCCTGCTGCGTCAGGCGTAGGATCCCCTGCATTGTTTAGCCTTGGTTCTTCTGTCGCTGCTCCGCCTCTGGACGTCACTGCCGCGCTCTCCTTCACCTTGGACTCTGGCGCTTCTCGGTGTTTCTTTCGCGACTCCACTATGCTGACGCCGCTTCCTACTCTTGCTGCAGTTTCCCTTGCCAACCCCTCCTCCGGCCCGGTAGTCGCCCGCAGTTCCACCACCCTTCCCTGATCGGCGGTTCCTTCGGGCTCTCTTACAGGCCTGCTCATCCCCTCATTCTCCAGGAACCTAGTTGATGTTGGCTGCCTTCGGGACCTTGGCGTCACCACTATGTTCCCTGGTCACGAGCGGTACGCTGTCTGTACCGAGGCCGCCACTGGTGCTCCCCTCACCACGTTCCCCCGGGACCCAGTGTCTGGACTGTTCACACTGGACAGCGCGACCCCCCCGGTTGGGATGTCCCCCCCAGGTGTCTGCGTCTACCCAGGTTGCTGCTGCATGCTCCTGTCGGTCGCTCACTCACCCGACATGACTCTGGCACCACCGTCTAGGTCACCCTGCCCTCCCGCGTCTGCGTCACATGTCCCAGCACGGTCTAGTCCTAGGTCTCCCAGGGTCGTTCCCTGAGTTGCCCTCCTCCCCAGCACCACCGTGCACGCCCTGTATCGAGGGCCGGCTCCTCCGTGCCCCTCACTCCTCCTCGTTCCCCCCTACCGCCGCACCGCTACAGACCCTGCACATGGACGTCTGGGGCCCCGCCCCCGTCCATGGGCCGCGTCGAGAGCGCTACTTCCTAGTGCTTGTCGACGACTACACCCACTACACCACCGTATTTCCCCTGGAGCGGAAGGCCGACGTGCCTGACGTTCTCATCCCGTGGCTTGTCTTGCGTCTCCACTTTGACCGTGGTGGCGAGTTCGCCTCCGGCTGCCTTGGTCGCTTCTGTCGTGCGGAGGGCATCACCCAGACGTTCACCTTGCCGGACTCCCCGCAGCAGAATGGGGTCGCTGAGCGACGCATCGGTTTGGTCATGGAGGTGGCTCGTACATCCATGATCCATGCTGGTGCACCCCATTTTCTATGGCTGTTCGCCGTTCGCTACGCCGCTCACCAGCTTAACCTGTGGCTGCACCCCCAGCAGCCGCAGGTTTCGCCGACCCTCCTCTGGACTAGGTCTTCTGGTGACGCGTCTGCGTTCCACGTCTGGGGCTGCCTTGCTCATGATCGTGCCTCTAGCACGGACAAGCTCACTACACGCACCCTTCCCTGTGTCTTCCTCGGTTTTCCCCCAGACTCGTCCGACTGGCACTTCTACCGCCCGCAGTCTCACCGGTTCTTTCACTCCGCGACGTCACCTTTGACGAGTCCGTCTCCTTCTACCGCCGCTTCCCCCACCAAGGTCCCCCGGTTACTCCCCCCTTCTTCCTGGTCCCCCCGCCCTCGGTGGCCCCTGCCCCTGCCCCCCCCCCTCCCAGTCCTGCACCGTCTGGTGTGTCCCACGTCACCCCCCTCACGTCGGTGGTCTGGATCGAGGAGTCTGCTGACTCTGGTGGTCCTACGGCGCAGTCCTCGCCGCCTGTCCCTCCCCAGGTGTCTCCTCCTCCGCCGCCTCCGCAGTCGCCGTCGCCACCGCTGTCACAGCTGCCGTCACTGCCGTCGCCGCCACAACCGTCGTTGCAGCCGCCGCCGTCGCAGCAGCAGTTTGTTGACTCTGCGGGTGCTGGCGTTGGGGTGGGTACTAGTCCTGGAAATCCTGCCGTGGCTTGTCTCGGCAGGCCTGGGGGTGGTACCGGTGCTCGAGGGGTTTCGGGCTCTGGGGGTGTTCCTTTTGGGGGTGCAGGAGTGGAGTGTTTTGGAGGTAGCCGTGAAGCAGCTTGCGGCCCCGGTGTCGGTGTTGTGCCACCGCAACCGCAGTCACCGCCGGTGTCAGCCCTTCGCCTGCTCGGCCTTCTGTCCCCTGACCCTGTGTCTGTTCCTCTTCCTGTCTACGGCCCTGTGTTCCCTCCGGCTCGTCCTCCCCTTCGTTCCCCTCCTGTGTCT